AGAGAGAGAGAGAGAGAAAGAGAGGATCAGAGAGAGAGAGAGAAAGATGGAGGAGGCATGGGGAGAAAGTGGAATGAGAGAGAGATAGAGAGGGGGGAGAGTGAGAGAGAACTAGGGATGGAGAGAGAGAGAGAAAGAGAGAGAGAGAAGAGAGAGGAGGCATGGGAGAAAGAAAAGAGAGAGAAAGAAAGAGAGAGGGAGGAGGCATGGGAGAAAGAAGAGAGAGAGTGGGAGAGAAGAGAGAGGAGGCATGGGGAGAAAGTGGAGGGTGGAATGGGGGAGGTAAAAAAGGAAAGAGAGGGGGAGGAGGCATGGGAGAGAAAAAGGAGTGAGCAAGAGGGAGGAGACCAAGAGAGGGAGAAAGAGGGATGGAGAGAGAGAGAGAGAGAGAGAGAGAGAGGGAGAAAGAAGAGAGAAAAGAGGCGAGGAAGAGAAAGGAGAGGAGAGAGAGAGAGAGAGAAGAAGAGTGAGAAAAGAAGAGAAAGGGAGAGTGAACAAAGGGTAGAAGAGGGATGGGGACAGATGGAGACAGAGGGAACAGGAGAGAGGGAGGGACAGTAAGAGATCATGAAAGAGGAGGAGAGAGAAAGTGGGAGAGAGGATAATGGAGAGAGAGGAGACAAAATGAGAGCGAGAGAGAGTGAAAGAGCTAGGGAGCTGATAAGAAAAGAGGGAGAGAGAGAGAGGGAGGATGGGGGAGGGAAGGACTGATGAAGTGTATTTTCCTCCATCTGGACTTCAGATTAAAGTGATTGGCGGGTCTCGTCTCCTCGTATCTGCGCTTCAGCTTCAGACGCAGACGTCAGACTGAAGAGACACAAACAGACACTTCGTTTGTGTAAAAGAACGAAAAACAAATCACCTCTGGATCGTTTTCTTTTGTTTGTTTATTTCTAAAAAAAAAAAAAAGGAGAAAACTAATCCTCCTAAAAACATGATTTGTTTTTAAAAAAAGAGTTGTAGTACAGTTGTAGGGAGTATTATCTGTTACATAAGGAACAGTTATTTTACAGTTGTAGGGAGTATTATACAGTTGTAGGGAGTATTATCTGTTACATAAGGATCAGTTATTTTACAGTTGTAGGGAGTATTATACAGTTGTAGGGAGTATTATCTGTTACATAAGGATCAGTTATTTTACAGTTGTAGGGAGTATTATACAGTTGTAGGGAGTATTATCTGTTACATAAGGGTGAGTTGTAGTACAGTTGTAGGGAGTATTATCTGTTACCTAAGGGTGAGTTGTTGGACAGTTGTAGGGAGTATTATCTGTTACAAAAGGATCAGTTATTTTACAGTTGTAGGGAGTATTATACAGTTGTAGGGAGTATTATCTGTTACATAAGGGTGAGTTTTTGTACAGTTGTAGGGAGTATTATCTGTTACATAAGGCTGAGTTGTAGTAAAGTTGTAGGGAGTATTATACAGTTGTAGGGAGTATTATACAGTTGTAGGGAGTATTCGGTATGAACATTTACATCTGAATCGACAGAGCTGAGCGTGTAGTTTACAAAGTCTGACTAAAACGTAATTACATTTTCAATAGTCACAGCCGGTGCGTTTGAATGGGCGACTCGATAAACACGTGAGATCCGACCGCAACTCGATATGCAATCTAATGAGCCTGCTGTTCCACGGGTTCACTCAGAGGTTGCCGGTTCAACTCCCAGTTCGGATTTGATTAACAGAGACACACAAACAGACTACGGTAAGCACTAACTCTCAAACCCAAACGTCAGGAATCATTTTAAAGACAGAATATTACGTTAAATTGACCTTTTTTTTTATGTTATAATGTTGTTCCTGCATCAAAAAAACACGCCTGAAGAGCTTTTAGAGTCATCCATGCATGTTTGAGTCATTTAGCGATCTCACCCGGGTCCTTTTCAATAAATAATCAAGAATGTAACAATAACCGAAATATCGTGATATCGTATCGTCAAAGTTCTCGCAATAATATCGTGGACCATCGCAATATATCGAATTACAAGTCTCTTTGCTTAAATTAAAAGTTATGGTGCAGCAAAAGACAGAGGGAACTACATAGACCATGATCCTTTGCTCCATTTCAGTGCAGAATACGAAGAAATAACAGTTCTAAGCACTTTTAAGTCTTAGTTCTTTGGGTTAAGTCTTGTCAAGGCATTTTAAGAGGAAGAAGTAGAATATTGACAGTTTTGTTAGTCAAAATATCGCAATAAATATCGTACCGAGAGATGTATATCGTGAAAATATCGAACAGAGAGATTTGGAAATTGTTACATCCCTAATAAATATACAAAAACATGATAAAAAAAAAAAAAAATGTACACAGAAACTTCACCAACCTGATGCAATGTGCAATAGTTTTATTAGTTTCATTGTGTTGTGATGGTGCTCTGAAGGGGGGGTGACTTAACGTGGAGAGCAAAGGGAGGGAAGAGTCAGAACGTTCAAAACAAAAGTGAAACTTACAAAACATGTTAATATGTTGTTGTCGGCGAATATAGCATTTTTGACATGTTGTGTGGCACCCAGTCGAAATGAGAAGTCCAGAACTGACGGTTAAGTGACTTTTAATCTTTCTGTGCCGTGTCATAAAAGAGTTAAGAGCTGTAAGAGGTTAACAAAAACAAAATTAAACTGTTATCCATATTTTAACGTTCATTTAGAAGTGACATTTTCAAGTTGCTCAAAGATACATTTACAAATAAAATTCCCCTGTTGACTGTTCCTATCTTTGGGATTTTTGTATAACTTTTCACAATAGTTTTTCTGTTTTTCACCATTAACTGTAGATGACTTCACTTTGCATCTTTTCAGCATATCAAACTAATTTCTGTTTAGTCGTTACTTACGCTCACACAGGAAGTCACCAAAATAAAAGCCTGTAAGATTACTATTAAATACCATAGGCCATTGTTTCCCAAAGAGTGGGTCGCGATCCTCAGGTGGGTCGAAAGAGATTTTTTTTGGGTCTCCTTGTCACGATCCGCATGTAGGTCTGCAATACTTATACTTATACATATACATATACTTATACTTATCACATATATATACATATACTTATACATATACTTATACTATATACTTACACATATACTTATACATATACATATACTTATACATATACTTATACTTATACATATACTTATACTTATACATATACTTACACATATACTTATACATATACTTATACATATACATATACTTACACATATACATATACTTATACATATACTTATTCATATACATATACTTATACATATACATATACTTATACTTATACATATACTATACTTATACATATTATACATATACTTATACATATCCTTATACTTATACATATACTTATACATATACTTACACATATACTTATACATATACTTATTCATATACATATACTTATACATATCCTTATACTTATACATATACTTATATCTATACTTTTTAATATACATATACATATACATATACTTATACATATACTTATTCATATACATATACTTATACATATACTTATTCATATACATATACTTATACATATACTTATTCATTACATATACTTATACATATACTTATACATATACATATACTTATACATATACTTATACATATACTTATACTTATACATATACTATATACTTACACATATACTTATACATATACATATACTTACACATATACTTATTCATATACATATACTTATATATATACTTATACATATACATATACATATACATATATCCCACGCACCCCCCCACTCCTCACTTCTTCTCCCTGCACGGAATCTCTGGGAAACACTGATTAATGTTTTTCCTTGTTTAAAACTTGGGAACTGTGGAAGCTGGGCGTAATAAAAAGGAGCCGACAACTTCTCACATTTCAGACACAGAAAGTCGTCTGTCGCTTTATTAACTGAACTGAACTCACAACAACAACAAAACGACTAATAACGGTAAAAGGAACAGCGTGCCTCAAACGTCAACGAGTCTTAAAGGGGCCTCGACTATACTGTATATAAAGCACAATCCTGAAAACTGAACACTGAACATAGGTAAGCATGTAACTAATGTGTCTCAGTACTGTATTTTTCGGACTATAAGGCGCACTTAAAATCCCTTAATTTTCTGAAAAATCAACAGTGCGCCTTATGTATTAATTCTGGTTGTGCTCACTGACCTCGAACCGATTTTCTTATATTCCACTGAGTTGTGTTCTTTAGTCCGACAGAAGCTGAACTGCATCAACACACAAGGAGCGAGCTGTTTTTTTATGGCTTATAGTTTATGCAAATGAGCCATGTGGTTTTAAGTTTAGTTTCTGTCAAACATCAACAAAAGTGCACAAAGCTGTATTAAACACATTATTACTCAATGTGCGTTTGAGTCATCCTTGTAGGAAATAAAAAAGTCTCAAGTCTTCAAGTGTCGTCCGTTTGCTTTGCTTAATGTGCCTTATAATCTAGTGCACGTTATAGTCCAAAAAATATGGTAATACTAACTGTTCAGAGAGACACAATCACTCAGTCAACAATAAAATATCCTCATTAATGTTCAATAATGGTTGCAAATTTATTTTATGATTTACAAATAATGTTTATTGACTTGTGTGGCAAAGAATTGTGACTTTTAAAATATGGGTCCCCAGAAAAACATTTGGGAAACACTGCCATAGACTGAATGTTAAATACATAAGAGCTAAGTTGACCTTTACATGATGAGCTAAATACGTGTAAGCTCTTAGTTTTGGTCATTTACTTTTTGCAACATTCCTCTTTGAGTAACAATCATCAAGAATCATTGAATCTGGCAACTCAGACGAGAGACTCGTGTGAGGCTCATCCTGTTTTCTGATTGGATAATCGTCTTGAACCAAAACACCAAATTATAACATAAACATCTTGGTGATCATGTCCAGTGTTTTTGTAAATAAGAATAAATCAAATGTTACATGTTTATCTTGCATAAACGCAGAAATTCTCCATCTCCTCCCTAACGTAAACTGCTCGTCTGTTGCAGTAACAAGAAGCTGCGCAACCTTCCAAACTACTTCATCATGAACCTGGCGGTCAGTGACTTCCTCATGGCCTTCACTCAGTCGCCCATCTTCTTCATCAACAGCCTCTTCAAGGAGTGGGTCTTTGGAGAGACAGGTACCACATTCTCATTCAGAACAGTATTTATTTGTATTCATGTATTTTTTTGGGCATCATTTCCCAGAACATTACACTAAGTACGATCTGATTTCATTAGAAAGCTGAGTCCTGCACCGGGTCAGGTACCCGTGGGCAAATAGTTGCTGAAGCGGGCGGATTTTAATGTTCTGGAATTGTACGGGCGGGTAGTAATTACAAATGGGCAGGTCAGAACTAAATCAGGACTAAACCAAGACCACACCACGACTACACCAGCGACTTTACTAGGTCTAACCCAGGACTAAACCAAGACTAATCTTGGACGTAAGAGAGAGAGAACCCCGAGTCCGCGGAGCATGGTGTCCGCAAAGCGCGATCAGGCAACGGCTATGCTTTTTTCTGTGGGGCGTGGAGCTCTCTGCCAGTCCTTTCACCTGCGGTCACCCAACAATCTACAGGGGCGCACCTCTGGGCCCATCCCGACAGTGAGCCCTGGTTCAGTTCTGGTTTAGTCCTGGTTCAGTTCTGGTTTAGTCCTGGTTTAGTCCTGATTCAGTCAGTGGCATGTGCGGTGCAAAAGCCAGGCATCTCGAAAAAGTTTTCTTCTGCACTGTAAATGCCTGTGAATTCATATTCGTAATGAAGAAAGTGTGATAATTTCATTTCATTTTGTGATTGTAATTCTTGAAGTCGTAACTTTTCAGTTCGTATTCTGATGGATGCTTCAGTTAGAATGCTTTAAATGTGTGTGTGATTTGTCACGCGCGTGGGCGGGTTACGGGTGGAATGTTAATGGGTTCGAGCGGGTGTGGGTTTAACTTTGATATAACGTTGTCCTGTCCGTAGGTTGTAAGCTGTACGCATTCTGTGGAGCTCTCTTTGGCATCACGTCCATGGTGAACCTTCTGGCCATCTCCATCGACCGGTACCTGGTGATCACTCGACCCCTGGGCTCGGCCCGCTGGTCCTCCAGGAGGCGCACTGCTGTGGCCATCGCTCTGGTGTGGCTCTACTCGCTCGCCTGGAGTCTAGCGCCCCTGCTGGGCTGGAGTCAGTATACTCTCTTTTCACTTTATCAAAACATTTAGCACAATTTACACACAACAAACACATTTTTCTGATACTTTAAGCATTATTTCAACAAAATAAAGGTGTTTTATTAGATTTTTACTTTAATAATTATTTCTATGTATCTTAGAACAGTTTTCTAGTTTCCCTAGTGTGATTCACGATTTACAACCAGGAAGCGAAATCTGAAACCTAAAAATATTACCAAACTGGGAAAAAAAAGGCCAACATTTTTAGCTAAATCACAAATATAATGATCTTAAAGGTGCACTACGTAACTTTCACCTTCTTGTTTCTAATGCGGCTGATGCTGTGTTCCTCCAGGCTCGTACATCCCTGAAGGCCTCATGACCTCCTGCACCTGGGACTACGTGACCTACAGCGTGTCCAACCGCAGCTACACCATGATGCTCTGCTGCTTCGTCTTCTTCATCCCCCTCGCCATCATCTTCTACTGCTACCTCCACATGTTCTGGGCCATACGCAAGACCGGCAGGTACAACTTTATGCAACTCTATTTAAAGGTGCACTGGGTAACTTTTTGGTTGGGAGTCTGTCATCTAGCCTGATTCCTTGCAGCATTAGGATTCGTTCGCTCGATGGTAGGTGGGTGCTTTTTTTTTATTTAACCAATCGCTGCTATTTGGTCGTGACATTTGTAATGCGCCAAATCCCGTAGGAAGAAGGGCAATAATGTCTCTCCCCTTGATTAAATTCACCAAACTTTCTCTTTGTTCCGACTTTAAATCCTTGATCTCGGGAATCGTTGCCAACACAGAATGTCTGTCTTCGTCTACATCCATCTTGACGCTTTGTTTACTGTTGTGCTGTTCCACAAAAGGGACCCAGACAGGCGCTTGAGTTTGACGTCATGGCTTCACAGCTCTTCGCTGATTGGCCGGTGTGCTGTCTACAACTTCCGGGGTTCTTGCAAACCGTCTAGTGCAGGAGTCTCCAAACTTTTTCTCCAGTGAGCTACCTTCACAAAACAAAAATGCCAGAGAGCTACAAATTTCAGCAGTTGCAAAGAAACTGAGTAAATGTAAGAGCCACAGCGGGCCTTCGATAGGGAACAGTTAGATGCTTATAAAACATAAACCATTATCCATTTATTGATGCACCAAGTTAGACACATTTACAATTTTAATTTGTCTAATTTTACTTATTATCCACACTACATAGCATTCAGAAATCCTTTGACGAGCTACTTGGAAAGGAACATGACAGTAATCAGCTCTACTTCACATTTATTCAATTACAGGTGGTTTTGCTGCTCAAAAATACCTAGAAAAACAGACATTCTGATTGTGAGCAGGGCCTGTAACTTGGTCTGGTTTGGTCTCCATGAAGACAGAAAGGTTTAATATCTCACTGTGAAACGTTCCAGACAAAGCAATAACATCTCCATGGAGAAAAGCGTTTGACGAGCTCTCAGATGGAAAAGTTACACAACGCATTTGTGGCTAGCTGACAAAAAAATAAATAAAAATCAGTTTTAACCTACCCCCTACCCCCACCCACATCTCGTAGTTGCAAATACTCAAAAAAACGTTGAAAAATCTTATATTGTTTTTCTTGCATTTTGCTCTGTTGCTACTGCAGCTTTTTTACTGCTGCGTTTTCTATTGTTTACCTCTTTTTTTTTCTTCTTTCTTTCCTAAAACTTGAAAATAAAACAAATTTAACTGTGCATTGTGTAACTTTTCTGGTAGAAGGTCCACCACTTGCTTGACACCATGTTGCTTTTTCCTTAAATGTTCCACAATATAGGCATTTAATTTTAACTATTTCCATGGAGACAAGCAGCCCACAGAAATAAAACATGTGAGACTGAATAAATACAAGATCTTTTTGTTTAATGCCATACTCTGGAACATATATATAAATAAATAAAGTAGAATGATTTGTTCATTCTCAGGGAGGTGGAGCGGTTGGGGACCCAGATGAGGAAGTCCGCCCTGATCAAGCAGAAGTCCATCCGCAGCGAGTGGAAGTTGGCAAAGATCGCGTTTGTGGTCATCGTGGTTTATGTCCTCTCCTGGTCTCCGTACGCCTGCGTCACCATGATCTCCTGGGCCGGGTCAGTCGAGCTGCACTTAAAACGTAAAGGGAAACATTCATTCATGCATATTTAAAGGTGCACTAGGTAACTTTAATGGTCTATCCCCAAAGCTCAAAATGCTCTGTTCCACCTTGTGATGTTATGGAGTGCGCACTTTCACCTTAAATTCAGTCGAAATTGTCAATTCCAGGTCTGAAATCATCCACATGAGTCCGGTGAAGATGTATGAAGATTAAAAACACAGTGGAGCACTTCCTGTATTTATTTTTATTTTTTCAGACACGCAAACATCCTAACGCCGTACTCCAAAGCCGTGCCTGCGATCATCGCCAAGGCCTCCACAATCTACAACCCCTTCATCTACGCCATCATTCACAACAAGTACAGGTAAAACACAGAGGCACACTCAAGCATGAATCCAGGCAGGACTAATCTGTTTTGACTGAGGAACACTCGGATAAATATGATCACACTTCATGTTTTCAGGCGAGAGGAAGTGAGGGGGAAGGGGCCTTGCTCACAGTGGAACAGCAGTGGCTCTAGAGCATAATGTTGCTGAGTCCTGTTGTAGGGATGGGCATGACTAGTCGACTATTCGGTAGTGACGGGCGAATGGAGCCTCGTGAAGCATTGACACCTCAGTCGCAATATTGTCTCAAAGGGTTCGACGTGTCTGAGACCTCGGAGAAACACTGACCTCTAGTGGACAAATTTAACCATTGGCACGCAGGCGTCTCAGCGTCGATGAAGTATTGTTAGTGTAAGACAGTTGTGTCAAACTCATTTTGGTGGGGGGCCATATCCAACCTACTTCCCAAAGGGGCCAGATCAGAAAACTCACAGCATATATACCCCCAAAAATAGCAATAAGTTCAAATATTTGTGCAGAGAAACACAAATCTATTACACAAAACTTTTTTTAATTGATGAACTCTTTGCATGCAATTTCAACACAATGTTTTAACATTAACTTGTATGCAAATTGGAACGAGTCAATTTTTCTTGGAAAATCCTGCACTCGGCTCCACTTTTCTCATTTTGGACATTTTTCTGATGAGGGTGTCACGGTCAACAGTCAAAACGATCGTCCTTTAAGAGCGTTTGGAAAGAGACAAGTCTTCATTTGTGCTGCTCTGGTGGGAGGGGCCACGTACAGAGACGCTGCTATGCTAAGCGGCACAGAAAATTACCAATATTTTAATAGAAAATTTAATTAAAATATTTTAGTTGAAAATCAGTCGAGGGCCAGATTAAAGGTCTTGGAGGGCCAGATCTGGCCCCCGGGCCTTATGTTTGACACCTGTGGTGTAAGACAATACTTGAGTGCAGAACATACACCGTACCAAACAACAACAACAATAATGATGATTTAAAATAATATGTAAAGAGCAACATAAATAGCTGTAAATAAGAAAATAGGTGTTTCCTTGTTAAGTGGAATTAGATCAAAATGATCCCAAACCATGAATCACTTTTTTCCACTTGTAGATGCCACCGAAAATGAAACAAATGCCAAAAGTCGCCAAAAGTCGCCAAAATCACCACTAACGTCACACAATACTCCTCACTACCAAACATTTTTAAGAAATATTGGTGCATCTTTTATACTGTAGCAGTTTAGCGTTTGTCAAACCAAGGAAGTGCGCGGAACACTCTGAAACACTCTGAACCAATCGCAGAGCGGAACATTTGCTGAGCCAATGAAACGCTTCGATACACTGAAGCGACTGACACGCAGAGTGAAGCAGTAGGGGGAGGGACCGACACTTCCACACTTTGGTCACGTGAGCGGCTGCTGCAAGATGAGCTCAAGCACAAGGCAGTGCTTCAGAGCAACTTGTTTCAGAAAGAACAAGATGTGCTCCGGAGCTCCGTCTCATTTGCCCATCACTACTAATCGGTAAATGATCATTAAGTATTTCATCGATTATGTTAATTTTTAATCAACAAACCAAATGTAGGTTGTTTTGCATAGCGTAAACAGCGCAAACACTGGAGTTGTGGCCTCACAGTCCCACGTTTTGGCTCTGGCACCACAAGAACAGAGCTGTTTTTTTGTGTTTTTTTTAGCGCTACTTTATGCAAATTAGATAAGCAGTTTTAAGTTTTGTTTCTGTAAAATGTAAACAAATGTGTGTGTATATACTCAGAGTGACGTGCCCCCATCCCAACCATATGTTTTATGAATTCTTTCCAAAACCACACAGAGTCTGGGCAGGTCCAAAATAAGTGAGAGGTGGTTTCATTTTTCAGTTTGTGTCCATTGTCCTTCTCAGATGATTCTTTAGTGGATAACAGCGATGTAGAAGTTTGTAGCAGATTTCCCTTTGCTTGTTGGTGATGAGATATTTGTGAGGTCATGTCCAAACATTTTTCCATGGAATATTGTCAGTGGAGTCGGGGTCTCACAGAGCATGAGTAGGGCTCCGCTTGGGAGGTGCACTTGTGCTGATAGTCGCTCTTTTTCCGCGGCGACTCATTATAAGACATGTTTAATTGAAGATGAAACCAAGTAAGTTCCTTTTGAAAAGTTTTTCAAAGTTTGGTGCAGCGTCTTCACTCACGCTGCTCAAGCCGACATCTTCAGGTGCGGCCCTGTCCTGCCGCTTCCCCAGTTTAGGCTCCTGGCTCCACTAATGACATCACTCTGTTACAGCCAATGAGGAGTAACCCTGTCGTCATATCACTGAATACATCTCGGAAAGTCTAATAAACAAAATGTGAACTAAAACATGTTAAATGAATACTACTGAGTTTGGAATAATATCGGAATAACTTTATATTTTAGTTTATTAAAATAAAATGGTAAATATTGGTAGGGGCTACTTTGTCTTCCCCAAAAATTGGTTGTGACATGTCCCCACCGTCCCTATGAAAACCTACGCCCTTGTTTGCCGTGCCACCTCCAGAAAGTTACTGTACTGAACTCTAACTCACCTGAAAAAACACATGGTTGCATAGCAGTAAATACCAGGCTCAAAAGTACAATTCAGACTGATGCCATACAGCGTTGTCCTTGTCCGTGCAGGTTGACGCTGGCGGAGAAAGTGCCGTGCCTGCGCTGTCCTGGCTCCCGGCGCCCGTAAAGACTGCACCTCCTCCTCCATCAGCGAGTCGTCTGTGCGAGACTCCATCATCAGCCGCCAGTCCACAGCCTCACGCTCCCACTGCAGCTCTGTGTCCAACTACTGCAACGATGTGGTACGCACTCCTGTACTCTCATACTTTAAACTACTGCAACGATGTGGTACGCACTCCTGTACTCTCACACTTTAAACTACTGCAACGATGTGGTACGCACTCCTGTACTCTCATACTTTAAACTACTGCGACGATGTGGTACGCACTCATGTACTCTCATACTTTAAACTACTGCAACGATGTGGTACGCACTCCTGTACTCTCATACTTTAAACTACTGCAACGATGTGGTACGCACTCCTGTACTCTCACACTTTAAACTACTGCAACGATGTGGTACGCACTCCTGTACTCTCATACTTTAAACTACTGCAACGATGTGGTACGCACTCATGTACTCTCATACTTTAAACTACTGCAACGATGTGGTACGCACTCCTGTACTCTCATACTTTAAACTACTGCAACGATGTGGTACGCACTTCTGTACTCTCACACTCTAAACTACTGCGACGATGTGGTACGCACTCATGTACTCTCATACTTTAAACTACTGCGACGATGTGGTACGCACTCCTGTACTCTCACACTTTAAACTACTGCAATGATGTGGTACGCACTTCTGTACTCTCACACTCTAAACTACTGCAACGATGTGGTACGCACTCATGTACTCTCATACTTTAAACTACTGCGACGATCTGGTACGCACTCATGTACTCTCATACTTTAAACTACTGCAACGATGTGGTACGCACTCCTGTACTCTCATACTTTAAACTACTGCAACGATGTGGTACGCACTCCTGTACTCTCACACTTTAAACTACTGCAACAATGTGGTACACACTCATGTACTCTCACATACTTTAAACTACTGCAACGATGTGGTACGCGCTCCTGTACTCTCATACTTTAAACTACTGCAACGATGTGGTTGGTTCCTTTGAGCTCTGGTTGCAGTTGACGTTATATTGACAAAAACGTCGCCCCTTTCTCTGTAACTGCTGCTGTCAGTAGCTCTAAAACATTTGTACGAACACACTCTATATGATTGATGATGAGTCCATAAATAAATGCATCAACATTAATAACAGACCAATCAGGTGCCTTCTTTCTCCAAGGTTGTTCAGCGGCTATAAACTCCAGCCTCGATTAGCTTCACTTGACTGAAGTTGAACGCTGTGGGTGACGTCATACTCTCTTAATCCACTTTTTTTTTTTTTCTTTAATTCATAATTTGTCATTTTTGAGGGAATGGATACCCAGCACCTCAACAAGAAAACAGACACGATAAAATACAAGACCAACACACATAGAAAGAGAAAACAAAAACCAAAAACACAACAACAAGAAAAGAACAACAAGCAAACAAAAAGAAGAGCCAGGAAAAAAAAAAAAGGGCACAGAGTTTATCACTACAGTGTTTGCATGTGTGTATTTACATTTTAGGGCTCTTAATCCATTTCTTATGTCAAAAACTGTCAAAAAGAACAGCGTACGGTCCAACCACTGTAAAGAAATGGTGGAGCTCCTTCAGTTTAATGACCGGTTCACACTTTAAACAATAATAACTAATAACCTCATTGTGTCTATGTCTGACCACTGCAACTATGTGGTAACTCTGGCACACTCAGACTTTAAACAAACTCACTGCTTCTTTCTCCATTTTTTTTTTTTTTTTTTAGAAGAGGCCATTCTGTGTCCAGTAATGGTGTTAGTGCGTTTATTTAAGATCTGAAAAACAGACTATAGAAATAGGCCAGAAAAGGGTATTAGAAATCTTTACTTTACAAATTCATTTATTTTATATTTGTTTTAGAAAATATTAAAATGATTTGACTCTGGACAGGCCTGATTAGGACGTTGAATCCGTTTGTTGTGTGTCTGTGTGCAGGTGTTGCGTGACGTGGAGATGGACCCTGTGAGCAGACAGACCGCCCCCGCTACGAGAAAAGCGTCTCTCTACAACCAAAAGTCCAGCCATAAGTCCAGTCACAAGTCCAGTCACAAGTCCAGTCACAAGTCCAATCATAGATCCAACCACAGGTCCTCCAAGAAACCTCTGCTGCCAAAGAGCTCCAAGAACTACACTCACAGCACAGAGAAGGTAGGAATGATCAGCGGTTACCACGGTGACACGATGCACAGTGCAATTTGTTGATTGCCCGTCTGTTGCTGCACTGATATTATCACGAGTACTGCATTCTAATGTTTACATAGTGGGTGTACTGTTTACGTGGTGTGTGTCACAGGGGGGTGCACTTTTAAAATACTGTGCAGTCGGTGTGATTCTCTAACGTAATTTTGTTGTTATTTTATATGACAATGACAATAAAGGAACTGAACTGGTGTAACGATATCCAAGTCTCAGGATACGATATCGTCACAGTACGAACCTCACAGTACGATATTTATTGAGATATCGTGGGAAAGCTCACGACATGGTGGGGAGGCTCAGGATTAGAGATGTAACAATATCCAAATCTCTCTGTGCAATATTTTCACGATATACATCTCACGGTACGATATTTATTGTGATATTTTGTGGAGGCTAAACAGCTTAAACTGTTAATATGTGACTTTTTCCTCTTAAAAAGCCTTGACAAGACTTAATCCAAAGAACTAAGACTTAAAAGTGTTAGAACTGTTATTTCTTCATGTAGTCTGCACTGAAATGAAGCAAAGGATCATGGTCTGTGTAGTTCTCTCTGGTTTTTTTTAGCTATTGCTGCACCATAACTCTTCATTTAAGCAAAGAGACTTGTAATTCAATATATTGTAATGGTCCACGATATTATTGTGAGAACTTTGACGATACGATATCACGATATTTCGGTTCTTGTTACAGCACTAATGTACACGTTAGCAAAAAAAACAGCCTGGTAAGTTTTTAAGATGCATTGAAAACTCAGAAAAAAATACAAAATGGATTTAAACAGCACATTTTCGATAAGAAATGCATAATATGATATGATGCGATAAATCTAAAGCGTCGTCTGTAGATGGAGTAGATGGTAGATGTGAAACCTGCACCCCCTCTCACCTGGCGTTTGTTCAGACTCATGTCATCACAACAAAGAGCTGTGAGGCTGTTCCCTCTTATGAAAAGCTGCACATCAACTGACATGACAAATCCTACTTAGAGAGCTATACCAATTGGCTATTTAACCAGGCTGATACTTGGACTTTTAGCAAATCCGCTATTGACCTTAAATCTCCAGCATAGGCCGATATTTTGTTCTGGTTGACCTTCTGCCTAATGAATATGCATAGGTTTGTTTAGATAAATGCACAAAACATGACTACACAGTTCTTTTAAAGGTCTGTGGCAAAAACAAAGCAGCTATGGGTGAGTTTGTTGTAAATTTAAAGTACATACTTTGTGGAAAATCTAAATCAGCCCCACATATCGTCCCTAAAATATCGAGTTTATCAGCCATTGTTTTCTCTGGATTCTAAACGACGGTTTCGACATTGGCCAAAAATCAGTTGAACTCTACCTATGTGTTCGCCTGATTCATCAGCCGGTTTCACTTCATTTCACTTCGTAGAAACCGTCTGACCTCGCAGCATTAGGATTCGTTCGCTCGACAGTAGGCGGGTACTTTTTATCATTTAACCAATCGCTGCTATTTGGTCTTGACGTATGTAATGCGCCGCTAACTGGTATATTAAGCTTTTCCCAAATCCCGTAGGAAGAAGGGCAATAACATCTTTCCCCTTGATAAAATTCACCAAACATTCTCTTCATTCTGGCTTTAAATTCTCGATTTTGGAATTGTTGCCAACACAGAATATATCACTCTTTGCTGATCGGCTGGTGCCCGAACTTGCACTTCCGGGGTTTTTGCTATTGCAAAGCTATTTGCTTTTTGTCTATTGTAATTTGATTCCTGACCTAGTTGGAGAGAAATTAAATTGAGTGGAGGCAAAACAACTTTCTCCAGCTAAACTCTGACAAGACTGAAGTCATAGTGTTTGGTCCACAGAAACAAAGGGACAGTGTCAGCAGTCACCTCCAGTCTCTCTCTCTAAAACCTTCAAATCAGGCAAGAAATCTAGGGGTAATAATGGACTCAGACTTGAACTTTAACAGCCACATCAAATCAATAACATCTGCAGCCTTTTACCATCTAAAAAACATAGCAAAAATCAAAGGTTTACTGTCTAAATCAGACTTGGAGAAACTTATCCATGCGTTTGTCTCCAGTAGGTTAGATACTGTAATGTTCTGCTCACTGGTCTCTCAAAACGAGCTGTGAGACGCTGCAGAACATCCAGAACATCCAGAACATCCAGAACACTGCAGCTCGGGTCCTGACTCGAACTAGGAAGTACGAGCACATAAGTCCTGTGCTCAGGTCTCTGCACTGGCTCCTGTGCCTCAGAGACTTTAAAGCAGCTCTGCTTGTACAAGTCTCTCCATGGCCGAGCACCAAAGTCCATCTGTGACATGTTAGTGTCATATGAACCATCTCACACTCTGAGGAGCTCAGGGACCGGCCTCCTGCTGGTGCCCAGAGTCACGACTAAACAAGGGGAGTCAGAGTTTCAGGTTCATGCAGCTAAAACCTGGAACAGTCTGAACATGTGAGACAGACTCTTCTGTGACGCTGTTTAAATCCAGGCTCAAAACATTTCTCTCTAATTTATGTCTCTCTTTTTTTATTTTAATCTTTATGATTATTTATGTTTTGATTTGTTTTTATTATGATTTTAATGTATTTCTTATTCTGTAAGGCACTTTGAACTACTTTTTGTACGAATTGTGCTATACAAATAAACTTGCCTTGCCTTGCCTTGCACTAGGTGGCACCAGCCTGGCTTCCTACGTGTATCACTGATTAAGAAAATAAACGAGAAAGTTGTGCTGAGATGAGAAAGTGCTTAAATCACACTAAATACAACTTTGAGATGTTAAATGAGAAGAGAAACAACTATAACGTGATTAAAAGATCCAAACAGAACATTTTTCATGATAGTTTATAAAGCCTTTAGATTGTTTTTGTTTTGTTTTTGCAGTAAAATACTTCTGACAGTTCTGACAGACACAGTGTAATTCTGTCTGACACTCCGCTCTGATATTATTTTTATATTTGTGCATGTGTCCGCAGCACCCCGTCGCGCTCAGTGGCTCCTCCAGCGGCTGTGACCTGATCTCCAGCTCCCTCTCCATCGCCACTCTCCCCCTGGTGCTCACGCAGAGGCGGAGTCACAGCCTCACCGACCTCCTAGGCACCACCGGGGTCAGAGTTCACAAGAGTCACAGGCCGTTCAGCAGCTACTCCATGGACTGCAGGGGGGGAAACGCGCCGAATCAGCTCGCCGCCGTAAAGCCGATCCCGCGCATCATCGTCATCAGTCCGACTTCGGAGAGCAGCCTCGTGCACCGGGACCACGAGGAGGGACAGGACGGGACGGAGGAGACGGAGGAGACGGAGGAGGACGAGGTTTTTGTCCCTCTCAACTTCTCGTCGGAAGTGTTCGAAGCGGTGGAGCTACTATCCTGACCTACGGCGTTTCGAACAAAAAAAAATATTCAGACGAGTTGAAATGACTGACAGCACCTGCTCAGAATGTACATCCCCTTCAAATGTTGATACTTTGCAGCGACATCACACATCTGTATGTATGTCCATGGAGGACTTTTCAGCAGTTACCGTGGTGACGCAATACTCACGTTTGCAAACATTGTCCAAAAAAGTTTAAGAAAATCTGAAAAATTGATCTAAACAACACATTTTCAGGAGCTTGTGGTCAATACGAGCATTCATGGTGCTGTTCAGGAGTTTGATTTTCAACAAAAAATGAGACTGTGCTTAAATAAGGATCAGATTTAAAGGTTGTATGGAGGATTTTTTTGTTTGTTTCAAATTGTCAATGAAAGTTCAAAATAGCCTTGTAATTATGATGACCAAAAAAAACAAAAAACTAAAGAATGAAAATCCATCAACTGTGGACGTGGTGGGGCCAGATAAACATGAGCCAATAGAAAACAAGGCCACCTCATTTTCTATTGGCTGTTGGGTTGTCAATCAAACTTTTTACGTTTCTAGCGTCACTGACTTGCCGGCGAGCTGGGATTACATGGTTTATGTTTGCCTCTCACGAACTGATGCCATTTACTCAACCAGCACAGCGGTTCTTGCCATCTTTTTCGAACTGTAGCTTCCTCTCAGTTTGCACAAAGTTTGTTGTAACGGCCGACAAGAATTCACAACCAGTTCATCGCAAAAGAAAGTCTGTTTTTGACGTCGTGGAAAGAAGAAGAGAAGGGGAAAGGAGCGAAGCATAACATTTGAAAAAGAACAGTCGCTGCATTTCTCTTTCTTTGGCAAATCTTCTATACAACCTTTAAGTCTAACTTGAGTGACAAAGCTTCAGACAGAGCAGTGCCTCTAGTTAGCGCCATCCCCCAGGGAATGTTGATGACATCCGCTGCAAAGTATCAATAAAAGCTGACTTTATAACATGACACTTGAACGTAGCATCAACTCATTTCACATGTTTCAGCATTTTAACAGATAAAAGTTTAAATATTTATGCACAAAAATTCATCCAAAGACACCCATGTAGGTCTGGTTTTCTTCAAAACCTGTCAGTGTCCAAACTCATCTGATCTCTGAAGCTAAGACCCATAGACTGTATAAAAAAGTGGATAAGCAAATGTGACATCACGCACAGTGTTCAGCTCCACTCAAATCAAGCTCCTGATGCTAAAGTTTACAGGAGCGAATTTGGAGTCAAGCTCATTATTTGGAAATCCAACTCTGAGTATCATAGCAACCACAAGAGCCAATCATGATTGAGATTGTTAAATGTTCCCGCCCTCCTCACTGGAGAGCAGGAAGAGGGATCATAGATCTATAATATAATCTGGAAAATGAATCCAGTATGGTGTTGTGTTGTTTTCAGAGGCCTGTGCTCATTGGCGCATGGGCCAAAAAATGTTCACCTCTGCATTTACTTCCTCAATCCGGGCGAACTCCTGTCACCCACATGACATTTGTACGTGCCCACGGCGTGGAGCGTTTGGACCAATCAGAGCAGAGCTGCTAGAGAAGAGCGAGTGTGGGCTCAGAGTGGGGCTAGGCTACGTTTCACAGAACTAAATTTTAGGTGCTTTGAGGATTTAAACATTTTAAAAAGTTTATGTCGTGGAAATAGAAAACAATCTCTACAAAATCCGACCTTTATGAAAGCTCCGGATGCCCTGTCAGCCGAACACGGGCAGTTTGAATTCCCAAAAAATACACTGTGCTTCTATGAGAGAATTCATTCTGAGCCCAAGCGCCTCCTGGAGCTGCAGTACCGGAACTGACCACTAGTCAATCTCGAGCCAGGACAGAGGGGGAATGATTTATCCAGTTTTTATTATAGATCCATGAGGGGGATTACTTAACAATGAAATGCACTAGAATGAAGGAATGAAGGCGTCTGATTGGTTCGATATTTATGTTCATATCTTGATTTAGGAACAAAATAGCGAAAAGAAAAATTCTGGATCACGTAGAGCAGGTTAATAAGAACATTTTCCTCCTTTTCTATCAATAATATTTTTTATACGTTTAAGTAAAGTTTGGGCTTTTTATTTTCTTTTAGCAGACAAAACATCTTATGTTACGATTTCCTCGTCTTTGCTTCTCTACAGCAAATCAAGTAATCCAAAGTATTCGGATTACATTACTCACTTTAAGTAATTGAATGGATTATGTTACAAACTACATTTTGGGGTATGTAATCTGTAATCTGTAGGGGAATACATTTTAAAAGTCACCTTCCCAACACTGACATCAGGTTTGTAAAGCACAGTTTTGTATCTTCTTTTTTTTTTTTTTTGTATATTTATGGATGCATGGGTGACGTAGGCTCATGGCTGGAGCTTTGCACAGAATCTTACAGCGAAAGGGCCCAGGAGAGATTGCTAAATGACTCAAACATGCACGGATGACATTTAAAACTTCTTCAGGCATGTTTTGTTTTTGTAATGAGATGTAAATTTTTTCACAATTCTTTTCAAGTTTAATCTAATCTGTCTAAATCTTTGTTTAGAATGTTCAATGGTAGAAATCAAGCCTTTCTATCTGAACGGAGACAACTGTAGGCTGCATTACAGGTCAGATCTAGTGTTGTCGTACTCAAAACCGGCCTCAAGATCGTTTTTTTGCAGTCTTGGTCTCGTCTCGGACTCAACCGCGCTTGGACTCGGACTTGTCTCAGTCTTGAAGTTGCTTGGACTTGGTCTTGTCTCGGTCTTGAGGTCTGACTCTCAACAAGTGATAAAATGAAGATAAATTTATAAAAACATTGTGACAAAATAACTGTAAAATACAAATAAATGTCGAAAAATGACAAAGATGGTTTAGATTTGGTCTTGATGGGCTGTGGTCTCGGTCTTGTCTCAGTCTCAGCCTTTAAACGTCTCAGTCTTGTCTCGGTCTTGACCCTCAGAGGCCTTGGTCTTGTCCTGGTCTCAGGATCCTGTGGTCTCAGACAGGTCATTGTCTCTATTAATGTCGGACGTACACTGTGCGATGTTTTCGATCATTTCACTCAGCCTCAGCTCAAACTGTACGACCAAATCCCAGGTTTTAAAAGTTCAGAGCTCATAATTCATGTTCTCACACGAAACGAGCGACTTCAACAGAGTGAAACCCTCACGAGAGGCGACTGGATTTCAAACAGTTTTTATATTCTTGTGACCTACGATTGCAGATCTGGAGCTGGTCATGAGGTATTAATCGGTTCTCGTTACCCCATGTTTATTACACAAAGCACGACACACGATTAAGCCAAAACTTGTCCCGATTCCCTGAAGCCGACAGTGGCACGAGTGAAAAATCAGCTCAAAAATGGCCAAAAATCGCACAGTGTAGACCAAGCTTTAGTGCGGTCTTGACTACACTAGTCAGATCTGTGGAGAGGCAACCCTATTCACAGAGTTATTGAATTTTTGAGCAATAGAAACATCTGTAATGAATAATTGCTACCTGTTTAGTTGCTGTCTGTTTAGTGTCATACTGTGGAACATGTCAGGCAAAGCAATAATATCTCCATGGTTACAAGCAGGTGACGGACCCTCCTCAAGAAAAGTTGTGCAATGCACCAATGTAGGTCCCATATTAGGCTATTTTTTTGGAAAATCTATGACTTTTGCGCCGCATACGGACTGAACCAAGACTGAACCAGGTATGACCAGACCAGAACCAGACCAGGACTGAGACCTGGACTTAGACCGGGACCAAACCAAATCTGAGCCCAAGACCAGGACCAGGATTGAGGCCGGGACCAGACCAGGACTGAAAACGGTTTAGTCCTGGTTCAGTCCTGGTTCAGTCCTGGTTTAGTCCTGGTTCAGTCCTGGTTCAGTCCTGGTTCAGTCCTGGTTCAGTCCAGCATCGCAGTTTAAGCCAAGAAAACGGGAAATGGCCGAGATCTGTTTTTTTCATTAGTCATTTAAACCCAAAATCAAAAACTGAAAAAAACAATCGTTGTCTGTTTTCTTTCATTTTGGTTTTGGAGACAAATAATGAAGAAAACTGCAATTTTTTCGTTTTCTTATTTTTGGTTTTATATTGAAAAACGAGTGATTGAATGATACACGGATTGGCTGTCACAAACATGATGTATTTTCCCGGTAACTGACATTTCTTGACGTCCCGTCCTGAGCTCGACTGTACATGTGGAGTCCAGAGGGGAGAGTCCGGTAATGAGCAGTGCAGTGTAAACCCGCCCAAGGACAGTACAGTAGAGGGCAAACAATGGCATTCTGCTCAGTGGTATTCAAGCTGGAACATTATGTGTTTGCAGGGGGGGGGGATACTGTATATGAAACTATGGACTGAGGCACCAGCGCAACCTACGGAGAATGTACGAAAGCTGGCCAAGCTGTGCTCATGTTTTTACGTCATGTTTTAAGTTGGTTTTTGCTCTAAATGTGTTTGGAAATGATTGCATCGGTCTAAACTCGTGAACGCAGTCAGACAGCTAAACAATTCCTTTTATGGAAATTAAACTGGACATTAAACTACACTATTTTTTGATCTAGTTGTCTCTTCATCACACACAGACCTGGAGTTGTGTTTTGTTTCATTCACACATGTTTAACACACAAACCCTGCATGTTTAGGCTGAGTTCTTCTCTCAAAAGTAAAACTCTCCTTGTGGTGTCATGTGTTTTAAACTCCAGACACTTTCACTAGACTCGTATGGATATTGTCAATCTCCACTGAACTAAAGGCAAAAGGAGTTGTTAACTTGCAAACTACTGTATAAGGCTACGTTCAGACTGCAGGGCTTAACGCTCAATTCCGATTTTTTTGTGAAATACGATG